AAAAAAAAAAAAAAAAAAAAAAAAAAAAAAAAAAAAAAAAAAAAAAAACTAGGACTGATTTTGGAAGCATAGCAAATAATGTACAATGAATAACACTAGAGCTCTGCTAGGTAATTATGTACAATGAATAACACTGCAGGATGCACAAAAATTAAAGACTAGCCAGCTCCCTGCTGGTGCTCACAGATTATAACTTGCAACTGCTGAGAAAAGCATGGATGGAAGTCCAGCCTTGGAGCGAGCTGGATTGAGATATTCTCCGACTCGACAACGAGTGAGATGGATCGAGATATTCTCCGTCTCGACAACGAGCTCGAAAATCAAACCAACAAGCTGCTATCTCAGGAGGAGAAGACAGTGGAGTACTTTTGCTTGGGCATTAAAAGAGCCAGTTGGAGCTTGCTCGACTGGCATTGTTTAACTGGGTTCTTAAAAACCGAGACCCGGGCGACGTTATTAGCTAATAATAAAATGTGTGCAATGCTGAATGATTTTCCCTTTTCGACTGCAAATTGCCATTCTCTCATTGATATGTTGAACCAATCTTTCCTTGCAGATCTGGTTGATTTCACTTCAATGTACTGTCTATTCTCCTCGTTGTCTCCTACAATTATATCAAAGGGGAATCCAGATTCTGAGTCCTCATTAACCCACTTAACTACTGTGTCAATGAACTTTTCAGTGAAATATTTGAAGGCGACGTTGCTCGCCGAGTCTCCCAGTTACCGTTGACTGTGCTGGATCGATGGTGCGAGTTCTAAGCTGCATTTTCCATGCAAAGCCACTCGAATTGGACTGAGAACCAATTTTATCACCACTGCCTTTAACAACCGATGCTACTGACATTGCAGATAAATCATCTTCATAGGTCCAGTCTGTGGCTGTTGAAACTGGAGACAAGTTCTCTGTTTGCTTGTCGACGACTTCAAAAGCGTTTTCTGCATATCGGTTGCGAGGCAGTGAGCTTCCTGGTTGCATTTTGAGACCATTTTCACGAGCAAAACTACAACCCGGAGCCGTTTTCCAGTCGACCGGTGGCCAATTTCTTGCTTTATCTTTAGCCTTGAAAGATGATCCTTGGCTGTTTGGTAAGGTTTGAAGTAAGTTGTGAGACTCAACGACTGAGATGACAGATGAGACAGACCAAACAGGTTCCTCCTTGGGAAGCTTTGTGACCTTTTGAGTATTCAGGATAAAACACTCTGTTTGCTCTTCGGAAGAACCCGATTCGTCCATGGCGGTGATCATGTGAAGGAAGTTGGCCAAATGAAGCTCGAGAGCTCCATCGAATAGCAAACGAGAAAACTCCATAAACAACGAATGAGAACCCGAGTCTTGGGTTGTGTATAAAATATTATCCTGCACAAACATAGCATGAGAAATTCATCAGAAGCTCTCAGAAGCTCATCTATTTGCAAAGGAACTGAATCAATGACTAAATTACCTGCAGAAGACAGCTACATGGAATCTGTTCACCAGAAGCACGTCCGAAATTCTTTATAACATTTCTGAAAAACAGCTTTTCAACAACAATTACTTGCAGACAACTCAGGACGTCAAATTCAGATTGCTTAAGCTCGGCATATCTGTCGGGGTGTACGCTAAATACGTAGCGCTGAGCAAAAGGAAGAGCCCAGTTCATTAATGAAGTCATGAAGCTAGAGTCCCTCAGACCATAATATTTCGCTTCATGAGTTACGATCTGCATAAATAGTTATTCATCGGTGAACATGATAGTATCTATACGAAAAAACAAACACAATCAACGTGTGGAGTTCGTAGAGCTTGTTAGCATAGTCAATTAGATCGTTCTCATTTACAAAGCATCAGGCGGCCTTTAAGTGAAATGTCAGCGACCCCTATTTTCAGTTTGGTCCCCAGAGTTCTAAAAGTTTCAACAATACAATTTATCTTATAAAAGGTCCAAACTTCTGACTATAAGTCGAAAAGGCAATGGTATGATGAATCGAGATTTTTTACATCATGCTTACGGAATCCCTCGAAACAGGACTTTCCTAAAATATTTTCAATGTATTATGGTCCACATGCAGTAAAGGTAAAACAAATAAGAGAAGGTTACCTCAGAAAGAAGAGGAACCCCTAAAGCTTTCAAGAGGTGAGAGAATTGTGCCCGGAAAACCTCGGTTTTGTCACTGTCGATCTCACTGAAGTCTACAAAATATATTTTGCCCATATTCTTACATTGCTGTTTTAATTCCTTATCATCACACCAGCACACGATGCCAGTGGAAGGATGAAGCGAAACCCATTTATCTTGTTCCGTGGGAAGGACCATGAACTCGGAGTTTCCGATACATTCCTTCAGGTAAGCCGTATCTTCTGAACCCAGAGTCCTGATTTTAGTCCATTTGCCCCTTTTAGAAAGACTTGGAATACCTAATACATGAAAGTATCACTTCAGTGGTTATCATTTGTAAGAAAAGAACATCTATCATTGCAATGACTTACTGTATCACCAGCTTGTGAAGGCAAAGCAACAGCTGATAACTGTTTCAAAATCGGAAGATAACTCCTTAGAGGAGGGTATTCATGAATTCCACATTCATCAACAAAAAAATTCTTAAGCCCTGGATAAATATTGCATAAACTCTTGATTATGGGACAATCGACCGTGTTTGTCAAGCGGCATTGAAGATAAACATCCTTAATCTTGTCAATAGCGCCAATAGGGTCATGCCAATATACTTCCTTAGGAGACAAAAATATACCCGACACCACATCCTCGTGCCTAGAGTCAGCTACAATAGGGACGAATATAAAAGGCCCTGAATGCAATTCCTCCAAAATTTTCTGTTTTGATGCAGCCATCTCATTCCACAAGAATGTATAGAAAGTGCACATTTGAGATATGCTGGCATATCAAAGAAGGGAATATAAATGGATAGTTTAGGACAAGATCAAACAAAGTCAAGCCTATAATTGAAGATGTTTACAAAGAGAGGTTTACGTATCCCTGAGATTCTATGAAATGTTTTCAAACTATTGTGCTCCTTTCAATTTTACTAATTCCTTGTAGTCGTTATGTAAATTAACACTACTATAAAGAGATTAGTAACCTTGTCTTGAAAGGTTTCTGGCTTCTCCACACTTTTAGAATATCAAAAGTGTCGTCGAGCGAAACTCGAGTCTTGAACCCAATATCACGTACCAACTTTGAACTTCTAACCTGTTGCAACAATGAGAATACAAATCAACATCTACAGGTCTATAAAGATTAATTTATTTTCTTCCAAAAACTTGATACATGGGAAAAAGCGTCAGGAAGCACCTCACAAAAGTCAAGATTAATTTATTTTCCTGCTCAGACTTGATATGCTGACCAACTTTGTTGAGGATATCTTCGACAGTGATGCCTAAGATTTAAGAAAAATAAAAATAATAGTCAAGTTATCATTTTCATTTTCAATATTATTTTCAAGATTGTAGAAGAAAAATATTGATACATACACATTAGAGTTCCCACATGTATCATATGTACCATATAAAGCAATATCAAACAACGGAACTGCCAAATTCTATGATCATTCAATTCAACTCAACCATTTCAAGTTTTACGAATCAACATCACAAACAGTTCTCCTCCAGGAATTTAATCGTAATTAGTTCCCAATATAATTTCTGACCTATAATTTTATTCGAAATTTAGAAGATTGTTAAACAAAACTGAAACAAAAAACGGTACAGCTCAACATATTTCCAGGCAAAGGTACCACTCAAAGAATGCCACTTCATTTTGGGAAAGTTACGGCTGTTACTTTGTCTTCCAAAGAAAGTGGACAATTGGCTTCTTGAAACCCTTGGTTCAGAGGAAAATCAAAGATTTTGAAGAACTAATCTACCAGAGCTCTTTTTTGGCACATTCCAAAGGAAAGGAATACTAGGACTTTTGAAGATAAGTCTTCCACCTTGGTAGCTATAGCCTATCAATGATAATTGACGATGGAAGGCTCTCATCATGTAGTGCTTGTGCAGGGGTTTCCTCTACACCCAACCCTTTAGATTTCCCCTTGTTTTTCAATGAAGTTTTCAGTTTTTTATAAAAATTAAAAATAAATAAATAAATGGACTAGAGCATTTCAAATCCAAGGAAGCAATATCAAGTTCTTGCATGCTTGTCTATGTCTGTGTTGTTTTTGAAGAACTAAATCAGTACAACATCCATCTGATATATTAACTCAGCGTCAAGAATGATGAAAAGCCCAGGAAGTAAACACTACTCACCATATGTAGACTTCGGAACATGCTTAATAAGAGCGCCCTCTGCACTTGGACCTACATCTATGCACTCATGTACTGGTTGTTTCCCAACATGTGTATTAGTCAGTTCATGTAGATTGATTGTTTGTAGAGAATCATAAATGCTGTCCCACATCCCATTCTTAATAGCTGAAACCTGCAGTAAAGACAGCAATGAAAAATAAGTAGTTTAAAGTACTTATCACAAGATAGGCAAAGCAAAAATGTCCTTACATCAACAGTCATACACTGTAATTATCAGAACTTAAAACTAAATAATATGGACAGAATGACATAAGTAAACCATCAGTCATTCTTGATTGGTATGCACTGATGATGCTTAAACGATATATGAAATGCATAGGCCTCTAGCCACCAGTATGAATGATGCATTATTTTTTCACATAAGAGGAGTCATTGTTGATATACCTCATTACTAAATAAATATATGTCTAGTTTTCTACAGTTATCTACATAGTCACCAATTATTTAAAAAAAAAAAAAATGCATAAAACAAAACCTCATTTTTCAGAACAAACTAAAGATTACGAATTATTTGCACATAGGTAATAAAATTGGTTATGAGAACCAATGTTGCAAACCTCTGAAATACCGTGGGAGCATAATTCATCTCATTCTATATTAGAGTTATATATATATATATATATATATATATATATATATATATATATATATATATATAGGCATACGTAGAAGCCCTCAATTAGTAAGAGTAAAACTACACTAAAGAAGATAAGACTAATAAGTTACATAAATATATAATAAACAATGTCCAACACAATAAATCCCTTACAGCGACATTGAGTAATCCAATGAATGGGTACGATGATATCATTGATCTCACGCTTTTTCTTGATCCAAGTTTTATGCCATAATGGTGAAACATCCGTTTGAGTACCTACAATACAGAATCAATTTAGCTTTCCCACTTTGATTTAACAAATAAACAAAAAAACACATGATCCTGTTCTAAAATCCAATTCTAAATGCTCAAGTAAATAAAAAACCATCCAATGCCTTTTGGGTAACATTACAAAAATTTCCAACCTCATCAAAAGCTTCTGTAGTTACAAAAATTCTTATGATTAGCACTTCAAGTTGAGGACATATGCTGTACATTTTGCCAAAAGACATTAAAAAAAAAAAAAAAAAAAAAGCCTCGAAATCGTCATTCTAGATCCCATTGTTACTTTCTCCATAAGAATAAAGCTGTTTTTTGGCTACCATCTCAAAAGGCAATAATGGAAGCCAATCTACTGCGTCTTTTTGAAGGAAAAGTTGAAATAAAAAAAAATTAGAAACATAGAGCCACCTTTTAGTCATAAACAGTGAATGAAGAGATTATTCGTGTTTATTTTGATTTTGGAAAGAATTGGGGAGGAGAGATTACCAGCACTCTCCTATTGGTTGGTATCATTTTGTATTGCCTTAAGGCTTATCTTCCTAGAAATTATCAATATATCGTAAGGGAATAGAAAATTACATAAATTATTTCCAAATAAATTTTATTCAAGGGAAACAAAAATAGTTAAAAGTGGTAAAAGAAATCAATGTTGTTTTCTTGCATGACAAGGTCTGTTAATGAAGATATTAAAGCCACTTTGAATCTTTGATGATATTCTTAACTACACCAGATATATGTAGAAAGCAAAATTCAAAATTAAATTTCATTTATATGAAATAGAAACATTAAAAAAGTAAAAATATGATGATAAATAACTTAGTTTTGATTTTGAGGTTAATTTTTTTAAAAACCAATTAACCAGAGGGGATATAATCACCGGGAAAGTCTAAATTAACATGAAGGTTTAGCATCTTTAGTGTGTTACATGCAGCATTCATATCAACATAATAAGAGATGGAAATCAGTAAAAGTAAAAAGAAGTAGCACACCTCTGGCACAGTTGCATCTCTACATCCATCCTTCCATGTTGTGATGAACATCCTCAAAGAATTATTTGTAATTTTACATTCCGCTTCATCGCCACTGCCTTCATCAGAATTATCAAAACTATCTTTTTTCGAGGAGGCTGGCTTCTACCTTGACTTTTTTACCTAATGTTGGGGATCCAAAAGTAGTGTGCATTTGATGTCCAGATTTCCTTTTCCTTTTGGATGTACCATTACCTATACTGTCCTTTTGGCTGCCAATAGGAGAGGCATGGACACTTACTTCACCATTCAACCCAAGCCGCGCCACCTCTTCAGTTGCAGATGGGTAAGGACAGCTACTTGAACCATCGTAACTTTTATTAATTTGCAATGGAACTTTTAGACCGGAGCTTGAATCGTTGCCATTCTTTTCAGTTTCGTGTGCGTTATCATCACTGTCTTCATCTCCTGAGCTTTTAGAGGAAAATCTAACATGCTTGCCACAATAGTCTTTGGGAACAGAGGAAGATGATTCAACTCGCTGAGATATTGCACTAAAACGCTCATCTAGCTGTTGCTTCTTCATTGAGAAAAGAGGTTGCTTCCAGCGTTTCTCATTAGATTTTGTTAGATACTTGCTGAGAATGTCATCTTCTGATCTTCTAGCTTTTCGGATAACAGATATATGGGTCCTACAACAAGAAGTTCCTCTCACTATATAACCAAAAGCGAATTCATAACATCAAAATAAAAATAAAAACTAGCCTGCATAATATTAAATATTTATAACTATAAATGCATGAACCATAAATGTAAATATTCTCATTCTTCCACTAGTGAAGCAATGCCCAAGAGTATAGAATTACGTACTCCAAGTTTTGAACACGTATACCCAGCATTTCCTTCTTTGTGACTGATCGCTTCCTGGAAATGAAGTCCAAAAGTCTTCGACCATAATATTTTTGTTTCTACAAGCATCCACATCCATGATCTCCGAAAGATAACAAATAATCTCCTCACTCTTTATTTTAAATACTTCAGTTACCTCAGAATTCACCGAGAAATAATGCAATACAAGAGGATGACGCAGTAAAGGGCCCAGTCTCAACTCTTCAAATTGCTTAACTCCCTCATCCTTGCATATAGCCTTCTCCAATTCATATAATGTAGTGATTCTTCTCACCCCCACAAAGCAGTGAATAAATGAATTGATCTAAACCAATATAGACAATATCAGTAACGTGTTGGAGTTAATCTACGTTTGACCGGAAATTTTGATAGCCCCCCGTTTATGCTTGGAGGAAATATGATGTGACCTTTCATTATCTCTGGTGCAACTACTGCAGACTGACACAGACTGAAAAGGCCAACTGACCTTCTAATCCATATTATCTGGTTCACATGTGATATTTTTGTTCTATAGATAGAGGGAGAAGAATGTTAAGCTTATCACTTCCCCCTAATAACGATCTATAAAACTTAGTTCAGAGATTTTTTGAAAGGGAAAAAATGAAGGAAAACAGTTAAACAAGCTATAGCACGATTGAAGAAAAATCTTTTAAGCTAATTTAAAATTTATCTTGCTTTGAAAGCTGTTCTTTTTACTGAAAAAAACATAATTTTAAAAATCTATAAGGCATTTCCGTTGACTAATAGACTTAAAGTTTTTATCTGCTCAGGTATCACACAGACTACAGGCATTGGACAACCAACGATACAGCATCACTAGTTATCATTGCTTGCGAACGATTATTGCCCAGGACTGCATACAACGCGAAATAAGCCCAAATATGCGGAAAGGAATGTTGCGAACGTTCCTTCCAACAATATTATCAAAATTGATATCATCCGTTTTCAGTAAATTTAAACTTCAACTGGAAGGGATTGTCAGTCTCCTTTCCTCCGCCGTGAACCCCCCGGCCAGCGCTGGGCCTGACCCATATGAGTGTCCTTCTAGATAAGGCCCCTAGTAGGCTAATGCTTATAATTCCAGCGAACCCAAGTTCCCAAAGAATCCATACTTAAAATAGACTCTATACCCAATAATTATCAGATAAATCAAGCAGAAGAGTGTGTGTGTGTGTGTGTGAAGTTTAAGACGTATTTTCTCACGTTACCTTCCCTTCCATCACAATGAGGCGGTGAAGAGCATCGACTTCCTGCATACGGAACCCTAAATATTCCCATGAATTGACCTGGAGAATCGAAAGCGCTGATTGCGAGACCTTCCAAGCTGAGATGCTTTCCCCAGCCACAAGAAGATCGCTGTGTGCCTTGGCTACAGCGTGATTGATCCTCGCGATTCCTTCTGCTGACTTCGTAGTCGGACTTTGCGGCTGGAAACCTGTTCTGGAAGGTTGACGAAATCGGAAACCTGGACTGGGAGGCTGGGAGAACTGAAACCCAAGATTTTGCTCCGGCAAGTTCGAGTTCTGCATAGGGAAGTTGACGTTCCAGGAATAAACACATTGGGATTTTGAAGAGGATGATTAAGATTTTGAACCGGGACATTGGGGTTCAAATGTGGCGCAGCTGGAAACTGCGCTTGTGACGGCCGTTTCTGATTCTGCCTCCGGCGCTGCCGCTTGCGGGAGCCACGAGTATTGAAATTGGATGGTCCTCCGTACATCACTCTCAACTCGGATTGCCAGAGTCAGAACTTCACTGACTTTACATTCAGTACAGTTGTTACTTGCCTGGAGTCCTTCGCCGACATAGATTTTAGGGTTTTGCTATTTGGCGGGAGGAAGGTGACCGGAACAATATATATAGGTTTCCCTCCTTTGGTGTGTGTTAAAATTGTATATATATATATAAGACACGTTAGTTAATTTACAAGGTCTCGAATTAAAATATAAATATATTTCTTTTGGGGAATTGCAAAACTACCCCTAAGTAGAGTGGTTGTTGCAAATGAGTCCTCCAACTTTTACTGATAAGCACAAAACCCCCCAGTTTACACATATTATAACTTGACCACTCAAATTATAAAATAATAAAAATTAGACCCTCAACTTTTGTGTTATCAAAATTGAATCCCTTCCGACTGAGAGATAGGCTCTAGCTATGAGATTGTTTATAACGGATAGAAGGGATGTAATAGTTCATTTTTAATTATTGGTTTAAGCATATTATGTTTAAGCATATTACAACACGGTCACGTGAGTTTGAAAAGTGAGTTTGAAAAGTGAGTATAGTCCTTCTAAAAGATCTACGTGTGATCTAAACTTCATAAAATGACTCGTACTCTAAAATTCATAATGGACAGGACATGATACTTAATAATGTTATATTTATTGGTGTATCTTGAATATAGTAACTCAACGATGTTGGAATCATCTAAAATGAAATATTACTGAAATAAAAATATTGATATTGACATTAGATATTATATATATATAAACACATCACATAATTTAAAGAAATTAAAGGGTAGATATTGTTATTATTGTACTAAACAAATAATAATATTGTTATCTATTTTAAAATAAAATAAAATATAATATTTTATATTTTTTTAATTGGAATTCATGAAACATTATTTTATGCATAATAAAACAAAAACGTCAATTTTCCACGTGTCCACTCACTAAAAAGTCGGAATTGAAAAGAAAAATCCGACCTGCCGGATTCGAACCAGCGACCTAAGGATATCTGAGAAACCTCACTACAGTCCTCCGCTCTACCAACTGAGCTAAGGTCGGTTTGGCTTAAACTTTGTTACTTTTTATTTAAGTATAATATTTTCTGTGCACGTTTTTTAAAAATAAAAGATCAAATAATTTAATTTAATGCATTAAAAAAAATTAATCATAATCCAATAACCCAAAAAAACTTAGGTTAAGACTTATATTATTGATTAAAACGTCACACATTTAGCCAAACTTCATATTTAAAAGCAAATTTCAATTATAAATAGTGAAATGATAAAAACTAATTTTTAACCTAATAAACCGGTGAAGATTGATTTTTTTTTTCTTTTCATAATCATAATATATAGTTAGGTTTGAATTGATACATAAAAATTAGTAAATTAATTAAGTAATTTATTTATTGATTTTTAAGAATATAATGCTATAAGCATACCATCAAGGAAGATTAAAAAAATTGAATATTTTATTGAGCATCTAATAAAACACCTTAGGATTTGAAATTAAATTAAGAGTATAAATGGCTTAATTAATTACTTATTAGTAAAATCGTTAATTAATTTTTAACTGATTTTTATATGGTTTAAATGAGTATTATTAGGTGTATAAATCTGATATTTGTTAAAATATTTAACAAAAGATTAATTTACGTAGGGGAAGCTTACGAAACGGGTCGGGTATGAATATGAATGTTAATGGCATCAAACCGACCCGAACAGAACAACAAGAAGAGCTATCGTTATTGATTCGCTTGTGCTTAACAGCCAATTACCCCGCGAATTTGCGTATGGCGGTAGATAGAAATCCAAGAAATTGATTCAGTTTCTTGCACCATCTTCCAGATAATCAGTGCTTGAACTTGCCAACTGATCGGTCCTTCACGAATTGACGATCGAAATCGAAGCAGGAACTCCGGCTTTTTGCAGTGCCACACTTCATTCCTCAGCCATGAGAAGGTTGTTCTTGGATCTTCGTTTTCTCATACATTTGTCCCATTTACGGTTGTGATGTTTGCTCATCGTCTTAAAATTTGAATCACCACTTCCTTCGTTGCAGATCGGGGCAACATTTACATCGGCCACATGCGAAGCAAGGTGTAGGAGGATTGAAGGGCATGATGGGGAAGTTATCAATCGCTGTGGCTGTTCTCTTGATCTGTACGGTTTTGTTGTTTGTATCATCAACGAATAAAGGTGGCTTTGGATCCGTCTCTCGCTCTGAGGTTAGTTGAGGCTGAGTTGTTGGGTGTGATTAATTGCTGTTTATGTCCGCTGCCGCGAGAGTGTTGAAGTAGAGCTTTAGAGTGGTAGTTTCATAGTTAGTTCCATGAAACTGGTTACGTTCATTCTTTTTCCACTTGGGAAACGTAGGAAAAAAAGTATGTCGATCCATTATTTTATTGCTGGAATTTCGGTATCGCTTAGGTGATCATCTCAATTCGTTTTCCTAAATTCATTGTCAGAGTCTGTGTTACACTCCTCTTTTGAAATTTATTCTCAGCAGTGAAATCACGACCACATTGTAGTTTTAAAATGAAGTGTAAGCTTAGCTACCTCACATTAAAGAGTTGTTTGATGCCGTTTTATCAATATGGGGTTGAGAATTGCATCTGGTAAATTTTTTCGTCCTTACGAATTACGATGGCAAAAAGAAAGCTACCTCGCATGAACTAGTTTCGCATGAGCTATTGATAGTGTTTGAATGTTTAAACACGATTGTAATTTGCCATTTCATTCAATTCTTGTTTGGCCAGATCAAGGCTGATGAACTTTGGAGCCATGCTGATTCTGGTGGTTGGAGACCGTCTTCAGCTCCACGATCTGATTGGCCACGTATTTCTTCGTTGCCTTTAAAAATCACTGTCTCATGCGAGAAGATTATATTGCATGTTTTTAGCTTATGTTCAGAAATGATGGCTATATTGTTTTAGATAAGATTGATTTTAAAACTCAATCACACCATGACAGCTCCACCGAATGAAAGCAACGGTTACTTGAAGGTTCGCTGTAATGGTGGTCTGAATCAACAACGCAGTGCTGTTAGTATTTCTTACATGGCTTGAACTCTAGTTTTCTTCATGCACTCTCAGCTTTTTTGTCTTTAAGTAAGATAAAAGTTCAAAATTGAGTGGAAAAACATTCTACTTATGTCCTGAAAACTGGGGCTTTCTACTTTTGCATGGTTGGATTGTTAGAGCAGTTGGCATTGTTGGGGTTTTCTGACTTAGTTTGATCGTTGGTGGTGATGTCATTTTGTTGTTATTAATAATTGGAGTCTCTTCTGTAGCTTTCCTCTTCTTGTTTTTTAAGCTCTTGTTTAGTCTCTGCACCTTCTCTTGTTCCTCTATGCGAGAGTTTCTCATTATAAAAATATTATTTTGGATATTTTAGATATGTAATGCAGTTCTTGCTGCTCGGATTATGAATGCAACACTGGTTCTACCTGACTTAGATGCAAACTCCTTCTGGCATGAGAAGAGGTATTTTAAATTTGCAATTGGTTCTTATTTTCATTTGCTACACTAATTAGGATTTTGATTTTTTAAAAAATATAATTGTATTTTTAATTGAAAAAGAAAATATCTCTCCTCTCTCTTTCCGCTCCTCATCCCTCCACCCATTCTGTTCTTCCATCTTCATCTTCCTCTCCCCTTCTCCTCTCTCACAAAATTTTCTAACCCACTGCCATGGCTAGGCTCACCAAGCTCAAATCCACCATCAAACACTGGCCTTCCATCTCCAAGCTCTCCTGCACCACCAGTTAAAAAGCTGGTGGAGGGAGGGGGAGGAGAGAATAGAGAAAATATATATATTCTTTCAGTTAAAAAATGTCATCTCAATATTAAAAACAGTAAAAACAAATCCTAATTACTGTAGCAAATGGGAATAGGGACCTTTCAAACCTATTTTTCAAAGCTCAAGGTCGAAAATGGTCAAATTGAAATCTTAGGGACCAAATGCACTTTCCTACATATCAGCCTCCTCTGTAATAGGAGCATTTTCCTACATTCTTACGAACTAGAAATTTGATTGACACCATGCAGAACATTTTTTTGACTGCTTCTAAAAAAACTCATATCTTATATACTTACAGCTTTCAACTAAATCTTGTTTTTCTTCCCTCAGTATATTCTATCCTCTATAATTCATTCCTGGTAACTATAGATTTTATTTTGTGTAGTGGTTTTCATGGTATCTATGATGTGGAGAATTTTATAAAGACACTGAGGTATGATGTACGAATTGTGGATAGCATTCCAGATATTCGCAAGAATGGGAAAACTAAGAAGATAAAGCCTTTTCAGGTAAAAAAAGTCAGACGTTAGTATTCTAAAAGAAAAATTCTGTCGGGAATTATATATTTGTGTTCATGATCTCTCTTGAATCAGCTCCGACCCCCTAGAGATGCTCCAATCAGTTGGTATACTACGGTTGCTCTTGAGAAGATGAGGGAGCATGGTGCTATATATCTCACTCCATTTTCACATCGTTTAGCAGAAGAAATTGACAATCCTGAATACCAAAGATTAAGATGCAGGGTTAACTATCACGCTCTGAGATTTAAGCCGCATATCTTAAGAATTAGTCAATCAATAGTTGATAAGCTCCGCAATCAAGGCCATTTCATGTCTATTCACCTTCGTTTTGAGATGGACATGCTGGCCTTTGCAGGGTAATTGTTTTCTTCACTGATCTTGATAATGCATTTTGAAACAAGATCCTGATGATTCGTGGGAAATTAAAAGAAGAAAAAGAAACAAGGTCCTGATGGCTGCCTTACAATAATTGGTTTTCTTTTACACTGCTACCACCTTTTCCCAAAGAAAATTACAAGAGGGGCCTAGACATACCCGCTTCACATTTTACTTTCTTTCTTGGACTATTTCTTATTTGTTATGAAAGAGAAGTCATGTTACGGTATATTTACATTATTTGACTGGTTTGCAGGTGTTTTGACATTTTTACTCCTGAAGAACAAGAAATTTTGAAGAAATATCGAGAGCAAAATTTTGCAAAGAAGAGACTGGTTTATAGTGAACGAAGGGCAATTGGAAAATGCCCCTTAACTCCGGAGGAGGTGACGTTCGCATACACATTTGACTATATCTTTGCTTAAAACCAGTTGATTACTGGGCATTTACAGTTGTCTTTATTGAATGTAAAAATGATATGGTAAAGAATCACCGATCTGCTAGGCTTCTTCTTTGTTCTGCAGGTTGGTCTCATTTTACGTTCCATGGGGTTTGACAATTCTACCAGAATATATCTCGCAGCTGGTGAGCTTTTCGGTGGTGAACGATTCATGAAGCCATTTCGTGCTTTGTTTCCCCGTCTCGAGAACCATAGCTCTGTTGAATCTTCAGAGGAGCTTCTTGAAAATGTGAGAGGATTGACAGGGTCTGCAGTTGACTACATGGTTTGTCTCCTTTCCGACATCTTCATGCCAACCTATGATGGACCGAGCAACTTCGCCAACAATTTGTTGGGCCACCGTCTGTATTATGGCTTCCGGACTACAATCAGACCAGACAGGAAAGCTCTTGCACCAGTTTTCATCAACAGAGAGAACGGAAGGACAGCAGGCTTTGAAGAAGCTATTAGGAGAGTTATGCTCGGCACACACTTTGGTGGACCACACGAACGCGTTCAACCAGAGTCATTTTATACGAATTCTTGGCCTGAATGTTTCTGTCAAATGTCGCCAAAAAAGCCTGCTGATAAATGTCCACCAGACAACGTGTTGGAGATTCTGAACGACCAATTGGTGGAAAGTCGAAGTGACAGCGATTCGGATGTCTCAACCCAATCCAATTCAACTGCCAGATGAGAAGCATATATCAAGATGTTAGCAAGCTCATTATAACTCCACCCTGCCAACGACACAGTTACCAATTCCAATTGAATAGGTTTCATTTACAAACGGCACTTGCCTCCAGGTAAATTTTATGGGTAAAAAAAATGCAAGCATAAACCAGTCTTTTTCATAGTAACATTTCTGTCATAGAGTGTGTTTTGGAACGCCCTTTTCTTTTACAAAATGGAGGAGATAACAACGATGCATTCCTTTCCTTTCATGCCATTGTTTTTTGTCTTGTTGAATCATGAAGTGCACTTTTTGCTTTTTTCAGGCCCGTTTGGATTAGTCTAGCATTGCGAGATAGTAACACGAGGAGACTCATGTCGATGCGAGATTACAGCAGAATCATCTAGGGTGTGTACAATTGTACTTTCTCCATGTGTTATACTGTCATCTCGAATGTCCTATTTTGTAATGTAGCAATAACATGTTTTCCACTCTGGTTCACAGCCTATGCAGGTAAGAACTTTTTTACGAAGTTGCTTCTTTACCAATATATGTAGTTTTTGAGGTCCTTATTTAAAATTCCTTACTGACATGGAAGCTTCAAATTATGTTATTGTTCTAAAGATAAAATGACAGAGTCAAGATGGTTGAATACATCATTTCCTGCAAAATCATTATTGACATACCAAGTCGATTTGTATCAATTTTTTTAGGAAGAGTACATCGACGAGTGAGAATTTGAAGGCTTATTTTCACTAAAACGTGCAAAGAGCAAAAGGGGACACAACCCTATTAACATTTTGTGCCCATTTGTTTTGTATAAATATTGAGTTTGCTAGACGATTCTAGACAAGTTGGGTTATCAAAGAAAAGTTATTTGATGAATCTGATTCAATGTGACTGTCAATTATTCGGCGAGAATATCTCGAATTTATATGATCTAATTATGAAGACACAGATTTTTCAACGTTGAATGTGTGAACTAGCTACATTGTGAATAATAGATTTTTGACGATGAAGGTATGAAAGAGAAATATCTCAAATTTATATAATTTATTATATAGATTTTTGAATTCACATTTCACGATCATTATGAAGCAGACTACATTGCATCGAGACTGAATCCAAATAGAGCTTGAACGTGATATTGCAGCTATTATAGTCGATATTATTTTAGATATTATTTTATATGTCAGTATCAAAAGCACATTCGAGCCTGAGAAAAAGGAATGAATTCACAAACGTTCAAGTGTCATTGAAACGTATACTCAAAAGTTGGATTTGTTAATACTAATCTGTCAAGATAAATGTTCTCGCGTCTAAGAAAGACACAAAGGGAAAAAATAGATGGAAAAAGAATCAATTTGAGCAACCACATATCTCATATAACAAAATCCAGGGTGATAAAAGCCAAGACCTCAAAGCCCCCACACCCCCCCTATTGGCGTTGGCAATTAGACAAATTTTGTGATAACCATATTTCAAAACCTAGATCTAATAGATCAAAAAGAATGGATTTTTACTGGGGAGGAAAAATTGTATTGTAAAAGGTGTACACTCATCTGCCTCTCACTCTCTCTCTCTCTTTCCTGTCTCTTCTGTTGGAAGTTATGAAGAAGTAAAAGCATGTGTTGTGTTAGCCAAAGATTTGACCTGTTATCTCATAAAATAGGATGTATGCCTCGCAGCCAAGAACCCGGTCCAGGGTAACCTCGTTTACGCAGGCGTCACTTGCATAATACCAAACAGAAGCATCTTCTTCAGCTTCCCCATTCCTCCTCTTCCTGTTGCCCCCTCTCACGTATGCAACATAATGGCCTCCTCTCATAGATCCCGAGTGCTCCACGACCCCGACCAACTGATATTTACACTTGTCCCTATCTGCACACCTGGGAACATAAAACAATATGGTGTTGATGTTATATTACCGTACAATTGTTCAAATTCAGTCACTGCTAATCATCAAATCCTCACTAAGCTTTCATATTAGTTCAACTCTCCAACAAATCCAAAGGTAAAATATATATCATTTCAGTATGCATCTGTACCCACCATAGTATAACCAAGAAGGAAATAAGTTACAACTGAGGATCTATAAATGATATGAAAAACCAGTGGTGAATACTTCTTTTCAATGCAAGACAAGGAAATCTGAAGCATGACTGCAGCCTCGGCCCCCAGCCTCGGCTCGGGAGCACTATGGAAATGTACTCTCACTTGGTGAAATTCTGTGCACTGGTGTCAATAGTGTATGAAACTCCACATGCCAAAAAAACAGTATAAGCCATAACTCTTCGAGTTAATGAATGTGAACCCATGAGCTATAATAGATTGGGCGAATCAAAATTTCCCATGCAATGTTTTTCTTCTTTTTGTTTACACCCTCACCATTTTCTCAGATCAGGTTCTCGATTATTAATTTTTTTTATAAGAAACGATTTTTTTGGTAGTGTGAAATTTAGGAGTTTTTAACCTCATAACGAAGGATCTACAAAAAGCTTCTCCAATTGCTAAGGAGAGTACAAAAGTTATGGTAATGGAAAAGTGGAGGTTAAATGGAAGTGCAATTATCAGAATCAGAGATAAAATGCAGTAGAATGATGATGGCCAGAGTCGTGATTTCATTAGCAATCATAAAACAATGACAATGCTATCACCTTCCACGATCATCGTCATTCTACCGGTAAATTCAAGATCATGATAAGAGTGCTTCAAGGGTCCATATTATGGTGCCTATACCATTGAAGCGCAGCTTCTGATCTGATAATAAGTTGGACAAAGAGGAGCCTATAGATCTAGTCTAGTCAACAACAGTGGTTATGAAAATTTTACGTTGTGTTTTGCTTACCATCAGCATCCACCAAAGCTGGCCTTTCAAAGTAACCTTGTATAGTTTGATGCAAATTCTAAGAATCTACAAGCACATCACTTAGAAAGCAACATGGAGTAAACATGCCATTTGGGTGTACTGATAAACAATTAACAAAGTGTATGGAAAATTTAGGTCCTTTGAATGGATATGAGAAGAGGTAGCAGTTGACAAATTGATATTTTTATCCAGGTTAAAAGGATGTAAGCAATGCTTTTGGGGAATTGAAAAAAATGTAAAGTGCAACAGGATGAAGATGGTACCTAGTATCCATGTATGGTTTGAGATCAATTGTTTCCTTGAATTTGACGTGGCCATTCAATTTACTATAACGACCCCGAGCATCCGGACTGAACCTCTTTATATGAATTGTCAAGATAGGAGGGGCCTTGTGAATGAGAAACCTCTTTGTTGCATCTCTTTTCACATACACAATTGTTGAATCAGAATTCATCTCACAATCCTCACTTTTTTCTGGTTGGTTCTCGGCAGATATTTGTGAACTCAAGGGCTCAATATTAGTTTTTGCAAGTCCCCTGCCTTTAGGATCATCGTTGGAAAGATAAGACCTGGATTTATCATCAGAATTCTCTTGATTGCTGGTGTTATTACAACCTGAAGAATATGCTAGGCCAGGATTCATATCTATGTCAACCTTAGCTTCATCTTCATTCAAAACAAGAGAATCCATCTTGCCTTTCTGGCAATCGACAGGTTTTGTTCTATCTCGACTGGAGCAATCTGCATTTTCTTTCAACTTCGAGCTTTCACCGCTACTATGACTTAAAGAACCATTTATTAAGTTCATATTTCTTTGATTTTTTACTTCCACTGAAGAGTCCACGTTGAAACTAGATATATCACCCCCTACATCAGTTTGATATCCATTTGCTACAGCTTTGCGAGCAACTTTTGATTGTTTCTTCATTTCCAACCTTTGTTGTTGTAGCCTTTTTGAGCATTTCTCACAGTTATATCCATTTTCCTTGGACAGAAGTTCTGGCTTTGTGAAATAAGTTAGACAACTCTCCACAGAGACGGGAGCATTAGTATTATCAACTTCCTCAGGCTCAGACTCGCTAACAAAACTACTCTCTGCAACTTCATTTGCGGCGGAGGGCCTCGCAATGGGCCCTATGGGGATTTCAGGCTCATCAAACATATCACCAAGGCCAAATCCCTCAAAATCATCTTGAGCACATCCCAAAATTGATGAGGAAGCCTGATCATCTGCTTTTGCTACTTCAGCAGTGGAGCTCTCTTCCTTGTAAGGGAGCAGCAAAACTTCAGAGGCTTGAACCTGTAAAGGGGATTCATCCCACGAATTCACTGAAGAAAAATCTGGTCCTTGATTGGGTTCATTGCGAAGGGTCGACACCTGCATACCCGACCCAGAGATGCTTTGTGAATCGCCACTGATAAATACTTCAACGTTATTTTCAGACTCCTGAGTAGTGGAAATATCACAATTTTCGACAGTTAGTTCTGGTCCAAGGAAATCCATCCACGTCAAATTATCTGAAGCACATTCTCCTCCATTCTCAATCAAAACTTCTTTTTCAGGCTCTTTAACATCTGAGGCATTCTGAGAACTTAAAGTCTTCTCCGTGATGGTAGTTGTGCAACTTGCGGCGCTGGCCTCTGATGCAAGGGAAAACTCATTACTGGATGATGGGAGCGAGGAAATTTGAACTGGTACAACATCTGAAGGCTTGCCAGTTTTACGAATCGTCTTTCCACTACTCTTTGGTGGCACTTTTGTCTTCTTTGCCCGAGAGACTGGTTGGACCTTTTTGGCCAGAGGTTTCTTCATTGGAACGGGAAGAGAAAGATCGAGAAATGGTTCATAAACTGTTGATGTGTGGCCACATTCTTTGCAACATACAGCACTTGATATTTCGCCCCCAAACATCTCATCAACAAAAGAAGGAGTGGGATTTCCAGACATTCTCTCTTCCTTAGACTTTGTCATCTTCCTCGAAGTCAGCTCTTCAGTAGACAATCCATCAAGCAGGGCATGAAGCAATTCATGACTGTCGTGTTGCTCATATCCTTTGAACTGAGGGGCTTTGGAAGAGATGCAGCCAAAAACTGATCTTGGATTTATTGAACCTTTCATTCTTCCTTCCATTCTTGCTTCTATAAAGATCTTCTTCAAGGCTATAGTTAGAGGTCCAACACATTCTTCCAATTTCATAAAATGATCTCTCAACATATCAATGGCCAATAGATTTTGAAGGATTGAATTGAAAAAACAAGTGTTACCTAGATTAATCAATCCTTTTACAACATAATGATTTCTTCCGTCCAGATCACTTAACATTGAACATTCTAATTTAGTTGCAGCTGTAACTTCACTGCTTGCATGCCATGTGTTCTCAATGTCCACAGGCGAGGCTTTGATCGACCGATCCCTAATTAATTTCACCACATTAGACACGCCATCATTTTGTTCACCATTCTCATCAGTTTTCTCTACTGGAAGTAATTTGTTGCAAGAGAAACACCATCGAAGCTGTGGGTTTTCAAACTGAATCACCACAGGGTGTCGAGTTTGCCTGACATGCCGAACAGCATGAATCTGAGAGTTGGTAGGAAGTCCAATACCTCCACAGGCATAATGCCCACACTGCAAACAAATCCAAATTGCTTTGGCATCAGGTTTTACATCCACAGAAGTTCCCCCTTTTTTCTTCCCATGTTTAGCCTTCCCCTTACTCCCCCTTCTATCAGCTGAACTGTCTTGACAATCTTCACAGCTAATAGGTTCCGAGGACGCAAGTTTAGATGATAACTCTTTGAAATTAAAGCATTTATCAAGGTGCTGGCATTGGCTTCTCTCCTTAACAACTGACACATCCTCAACAGCAATCTCCACCGTTGGGCTGCTTCGCTGGGGCGCCTTCCTCGGTGAACTTGAAGATACCCGCTTCTCTTTCAGAGGGGCTCGGTTGTTCTTCTTCTTAACTTTCTTCCCCATGGTTCCCTGAAAACAGATTCTGAGATACTACTAGAAACAAATGAAGCAAAAATTGTCCGTAACATAATCAAATCAAACAAAATCTGCTACCACAACAACAACAACAATAATAAAAGACCCCACCCCCTCGAAATCGAACAATCGCGAGGAACTTCAGAGTCAGCCATCCCTGTAACTTATACACAACCATACACAATCCATAGAACCTATAGGCGCATCATCTTCTAATCCTAACGAAGATCCAGAAGAATATTTCAAATTGAAAACGGTGGGCAAGAGCTTCTTCTGAACAATCACAGAGGTCAAGACAAAATAAGAACCGAAGTCGAAATCCTGTACCTTTTAGATATGAAGAGAACCAAGACTGCTGATGGAAATTTACAACGAAACCAGCAATCACATGAGGAAATGGAGATTGAAAAATTCAAGAACAATGCTTCAAGATCTCGAGAGATTGCGAAGGAGGGAGAGAAGCCTGCACATTCCCGCTGCTGCTACTAAAACTCTTCTTAATCTGGCCGATGAAGATGGTTCTAAGCGGCGGATTAGTGAGGCCTGAGGGCTTCTGATGAGAGGAGAGAGAAACGGAGAGTCTCAGCAGCAGAGAAGTAGTAATTAAAGGGGGTGAGAATATTTAAATAAATTGGCTCAATTAATAGTTTCGTTGGTAAATTATAATTCTTAATTAAATTATAATTATTTTGTACACGTAAATTTTTTATTTTTATACTTTCAATAAATCTTAATTTAATTATTTAAAATTATTTTTATTCTCAAAATTTATATTAAAAAGGCTTATGAATAATAAATTGAAAATTGATTGAAAATACACAGATGACATTTTAAATTATATTTTATTTTACATATTAGTAATAATTATATATATATATATATATATATATATATTTTAATGATTAAACTTTGAAATTCCCTTAAATGTGTCCAATATGATATTTAAATATTTTTGTGCATAGTAAATTGGTAAATTTTAACATCTCAAAAGTTTAATTTTATATATTTTTTATAAAATGAAATTTAAAATCCTATTTTCAAATTGATTTCAAAGAATTAATTTAAATTTTTTAATTTTAAAAAATTTTAAGAGTTGAATTCATTAAAGATTTAGAATATTCCAACCCTAAGAAAAACTCAATAAGTGATTCGAGGACGTCAACGATGTTTTTTAAATCAACAGAATATGACTACTACTACAAATTCTTAGACGAACAACAAAAAAACATCTTATCATCTCATTTTCATCCATCTAACGGTTATAAATATGACAACTACAATCTGTTGTTAAGATCACTCAACAACACACACCTGATCAAGATGAACACAAACAACAAGAGACAAAACTCAAAAAGGAATATTGGCTAAAAGTTTTATCGATGACTTCAAATACATACAACATGACATAATACAGATAACAAAAAAAAAAAAAAAGTACATTTTGTAAGCACGAGATATATATGGGATTTCAATTTATTAAATACAGTTTAGGAGGCTCTATATCCCAACATCTATCGCCCCACATCAGAACTTTTAACAGAAAAAGTACATATGATCTAAGCCCTAACCTGTCAAGTTATTCTTAATTTACATATGACTTGTAGTCTTGTATGGCAGTGGGGCAAAAAGACTAGAATTTCTAACCTGGAGGATGCTGTATCGTGTTCTGCTATGGCGCTCTCGTTTCATTTCGTTTCGTTTGGTTTTTTTGGTGGGACTTAAAACTTGCTAGCTGCTTCTGTGAATGCCTAAGGACGAGCTTCGCCAGCAACGTTTCTTTGACACATCCTGAAAACAGAGCCATCAAGAATGAATAGACAACGACTAAAAGGCAGGCAGAGTTTTAGAATTGCAGAGCATTTATGGTTTTTCTTGGACCGAGTTGAATGATAAAATAAGGTTTCATTCTACAATGTCATTGATCTGTTAGATTTGTTAAACAATACACGAAAAGAAGGTATAGATCTTATTGAAGATTGTTGGGAGAGTAGTCGATCGACTAATTAAGGAGTTGATCATAAATTTATAAGTAAGGAAGACATCTTCATTGGTACGAGGCATTTTGGGAAAACCAAAATCAAACCAACGAGAGCTTATGCTTAAAGTGCACAATATCATACCATTATGGAGAAACGTAATTTCTAATAGATCTGCGTATTAATAATAATATTAACTGAAGATTGGTTAATGTACCTTAGAGGATGGAGGCAATGGAGCCTGCAGAGCTGCCTTTCCAGGATCCGAGAGCACCTTTGTTATGTTTTCTAAAAGTTGTAATTGATTGTTCTCCTTCTCTTTGCTCTCCACAGATAACTTGTGCTTTTCTCTTTCCTCTTGAACAATCTTTAACCTTCCTCTGAGCCACTCAACTTCATTGCCGATTTTCGACCTTTCATAATCGACAGCAGACATCGAGTTTCTACGCAATTCAGAACGCAAGGAATTGCTTCGAGAACGAGCCATTGGTGGAAATCTTCCAGTGGCATCTGAGCTGCTTCTCGTGATGTCTAGTTCATTCTGCAACAAACTGAAGGATGAACTATCACAATTAACTGGAATACTCGAGCTACCATTAACCAATGTTTCTTCACGAGCATTAGCACTTGCTTCATTGTGCATTCTAGCTTCATCTTCAATGACATGAATATCATGAGGACAGGCATCTGTATCATTCACAGATTTGAAATCTCTTGTCCACTGCTTTTGATGGTCCCATTGCTTTTCCAAATTATACTCAACACAAGGAAGAGCTGTTTCCGCAGATTCCAACCCGTCAAGTGAATCTTTGTAGACCTTTTCTTGTTCATCAAGAGTAAACTCTGTGCACTGCTCGACCTTACCTAGGTCATTCGACACATTGCTTTTCGGATATGGCTCCAGTTCATTTACTTCTCCTGGTACAATGTATAAATTTTTATCTTCTACCATGCCCTTTCCTTGTAACTCATCAATCTCTTCACCGCCCTCGAAATTATCGGCAACTTGGTGCAGCAACATGCCCCTAGCTTTTGCAGCATCAGCGAATTCAACTGCTTGAATCGAAGGGGACTCTTCCCCAAACTCAAAAATTAAGTTTCGCGACTCCACTGATGGTAACTCATGAGATTGCTTGTCTGTAATGGATCCATTGATGCATTGAAGCATATGAGATGGATCTTCAGTTGGATAGGGGGAAGAAGGGGCCCATGGGGGTGTAAATTCAGTGTCAAGCATATCAACACTCACTCCACCATTATCAAAGAAACTTCTCCGAAAAGCTCCAACTTCCTTCTTCAGGAAATGCATTTCCTGCTCTCTCCTCACTAGAATTTCTTTAAGAATACTCATTTCCTCAGCATCATAAGCAGTTTTCTCCTCTATCATCCTCTGGTATTGCCTAGCCTCCATTTCTATAGAAGCCTTCTCCTCTTGAAGACGTAATATCATAGCCATGGCCTCATCAGCAGCAGTGGCAGCAGCGCTTCTCTCTTTCTCGAGCTCCAGGTACAAGGTAGCGCGAGCTTTCTGCTCTTCTTCAAGTGATTGTTCCAATAGTTTGATTCTATCACTCTCATTACCATCCAAGCAATACTCCCCTCTGCAGTTGTTCCTAGCCTCTTCAGCAGATGCTCCATACATCTCTGCGCATATTTTCTCATCATAAGAATCATCTAGTTCGAGATCGGGAAATACTTTATATTGATTGCTGTTGTCTAATGAAGCCTCCCCTTCATCTACAGTTTAATTAGAACACCAAGATTGCAGTTATCACCATGAAAAATTATGAAGAAAATGCAAAATTTCTCTTACAAGGAAACTTAAAACTTCCGTTAGAAAATACTATTACTGCTCGGCCACTCCCTCCCAGGCCGAGGCCCCCTCAATGGGTTTTAAGAAGGAGAACCACGCCCTGAATCAATCAATAAGCTTTTTTATTTGATTGAAGGGAAAAATTACTATTTATTAGCTTAGCTAGCGTAAATAAGGAACAAAGTAATGAGCAAAACCAAATAAAAACAAATTTTTGCTGCATTCTTCACGGCATTCACTTGAAAATTCAAAATATCAGACTTGTCAAAGAGGAAATTCTCCCAAACATCAAAATTTATGATCTCAACGTCCAAAATGCATATTCGAAACATAATTCGGTTTCCAATACCGAACTTTCCAATCAATCTCCGAAAACAGTTAAGGGACCTAAGCATAATGCATAAATGCTACACTACAATAAAAATGAAGTTCAGAAGACATAGAGTTGTCAGCCATTTGCTATCCTAATAAGCTCATAGCTGCCATGAAAAGGCAATTCAATTCGCATAAATGATCATGATTTTTTAAGTTGATCTAACAGGGAAAGAATGACAAATGGTACACATTAAATTTCATTACCTCCAGAATCAACAGAAAAGAAGCCATCCTCGTTATTGTTATCCCCAAATCCACAGAAGCTTGAAGGAGAATGACAAAGGTCTTCCAGTTCCACATCCGACTGAAAAACGTCATTTGGAGACACTGATGCAATCTTCCTGCCACCCACACCGCCTTTATAACGCGATTCGTTCATATTGAGAACGTCTCCATAAATCATACCTCGAGGTGATCTGGTTTTAAACCAGGAATCACCTGATGCTTCACATTTGAATTCAACACACGCCTCCTTCACATTCCTCTTGTGCACCGACATCGACTTAAAACAACATTTTGGCTCTTGATCCCACATGGAATCCAATGGGAACTTTTCTCTAGTTGAATGTAGGACTGAAGATATTTTTTTGGATGAACAATCCACTAGCAACTTTTGGAAGCAGTGATCACTACCGAGGTCCCCAAATAGTCCATCACAAGGGCAAGGCAGACATGACCCAAACAGCGCCAGAAATTTGGATGTAAAGAAAACAAGACTCGTTGCACATAATAAAAGAAAAGCTATACCAAGATCAAGAAACGCAGCCACTAATCCATTAAATGTCCACAGTTGTATAGCTTCACAAGCCATTTTCCACAAGAATAACTTCAACGTCCAATGCTATCCAATCAAACAAATACGAAAAACTACTTTCCTAGTCGCTAGACGAACAGAAATAAGATTGAAACCATGAATCAAGCTACAAAAGACAACAGAATAGAAAATAAACCTCGTTTTCGCCGGTGAAAAGTTCAGAAAATCGAACGAGTCCCTTACTGAATCTACAATTCAGAGCTACAACTTTAACTCGAAATCTACATCCAACCGCGAACTTCACTCCACCACAGTGAGCATCACTGGTCGTAAATGGAAATCACAAAAACTTAAACAGAGGAAGAATAAAAACCGAACAGAAATCAGCGTTTCTTTCGAACTTCCATTAGCTTTCAACTCTCAGCAACTTCACAACAATATGCTTCGGACAACGAAAACAAGTAAATTAGTAGATGAAAATGAAAAATCGGGAAGTTAAATGGAAAGGAAAATCAAGTGATTCAATGGTGGCGGTTTCCACTTTCGATTTCTCGAATATAAAAACCCTACTAACTTTCCATAAAAGTCGATTTAGTAACGTCGTGTGAGGTAGAGGATCATGATACTGAGAAAAATGGGATGAGAAATATAGAGAAAAATTTTGGAAAAAAGAAAAAAGAAAAACGAGCTGAGTGAAGCTGAGTCGATTTAATCTGTATATTTTCCACGCCAGATGCGGCGCCGGCGGGATTGCCACGTGGCTTTAAGTTTCTTAATGATCTTGACGATTAGTCCACGCCCTCTGAGATTTAAATTTTTTAAATATATATTAATTATACGAAATACTCCAAAAATATTAAAATATTTTTTTAGTTGTGAGTGGAAGATTCCAACTTTTTGACTTTATTCAGTATATAATGCCTCAAATATATGTTTAATTATGTTAATTATTTCGTATAACATATTAAAACTATTTGTATAATCCATTAATTAATATTCTCTCTACTAAATTATATCCAATTTACGTGTTAACTCATTTAAAGTGAGCTAAATTCAAATATTTTTAAATTTATAAATATGTTAGATATAAAATTAAAAATTAAAAATTTATTAGCGACTTTTTAAAGTAGAAATTATAAAAACATGGAATTGAAAAGTTATTTATTTTCATTATTTTATATATAAAAAAAAAAAAAAAGAGCTAGACTAGTAGTAGTATTTTCATTTAAAATTATGATCCCTACATTTTTAGTTATTTGTATTTTCATGTAGTTATTTGTATTTTCATGTAGTAGGCTCAAGGTGTTATTTATAAATTAAAAAAAAAACATAATTCAATTCCTCATATTAAATCATTATTATGTTTTTAAAATCTTAGAAATTTGAACTTTAATACCTAAGTCATAAATATTTAATGTTTAATTCATTAGAAAAGCTTAATAATGTAACAACAACAAATAACAATGACAAGGGCAATGAAAAAAAAAATATTTTTTTAATTTAATAACGGTAAGGATGAGAGATCTGACTATCAAATTTTTAAGATAACGTAGTTTAATTGGTCAAAACATTGGCTTAAATACGATGATGTCTCATCCATACAATTATCTCGATTAATTGAACTACATTCATATTACATAACAGAACGACAATAAGAATAACATTATGTAATATAATTCACAACATCTTCAGAACATTACAATTACAATTCACCAAATGAAATAAACAAACATTCAGTTATGAATATGACATATCAGCCTGACCTTATTTTTGAAGCCGCTGTCTTTCATGTCTATACGATGTCGTGATGTCCCATAACTTCATTCGAGAGAGAGAGGTCATCATCCGTGTCAATTCCAACCCAGTTAATGAAACCAAATAGAAACTCCCTGAAATTCACCTTCCCACTGTTGTTCCAGTCCATTTCTCCTGTATCAATCAACAAAAGTGGAAAATCAATATAAAAGCACGGCTTTAATCATTGGTATCAGAACATTCAACTAAAATGCCTAGTTTGTAAAAGAATAGAGACCAAAATGAATCGAGGTTGAAGTACGAGAACCAAAATAAACATTTTGAAAGTAGAGGAACTAAAATGGACTAAAGTCAAAATAAGGAAGTTTAATGTGTATGAAGGTGTATTTGACACCTTGTTTGATCAGATATGTTTAAACTGTCTAGAACGATTTGTTAAACGAAAACGGAGAATCGTTAATGAAGGGAGGAATACGAAATCTAGTCTTTGTAATGCGTGCAGGGGATCTCTCGAATGGAGAAGCCTCGTTCAGAGCCTTGACCATTTCTTTCTTGTTGAGATTGCCATCACCATTTTTATCAAGAAATATGAAAGCTTGGATTATGGTGTCAAAAGTTGCTTCAAGTTGAGGTGAACCCAGCTTTGATTTCTGTAACAAACATCCCGGATGGTTATGCCCAAGAATAACAAACAGATTGAAAACTGAATGTGAAAAGTTTGTGCTTACGGTGGGCGAATGCTGGTCCTTGAGGAGATAAATGAGACATAGAAGAACGATAAACTCGTTGAATTGTATTCCAGCACTTCCATCAATGTCACAAGAGTGGAAAAGATCCTCAACTTCGTCCTCAGTCATATGCATTTGCAGCTGCTGTAAGCATTTCTTGAGTTCTTCGCGATCGATGCTTCCATTGGAATCTTCATCTGAGAGAGAGAGAGAATGTGAGAAAATCCAGAGCAGGAGAATCTCAAAAAGAGTGATACAGCTGAAATAAAGCTCACCATACTGTGCAAATACACCCCTGATGTTTTGTAATCCCTCTCTGAATTGGGGAAATCTCAAGATTATGCCATTTAATGACTTGAAATTGTCATGTCCAGCTAAATTTCTTTTGACTTCAACCATTTTTCTTCCAAGCTTTTCATCTATTCTGTTGTATTTATTTGATGAACTGCAGCACAAAAACATGTTTCCAACTTTGGACATGATGGCTAGAGTGAGACGTTCCTTTAGAGTAAAAGATAGAGAAAATCAATGTGTGCCTGACAAGTCAAATGAAAACAAAATCAGCATATCCTATGAACAAAATAGCAATTCCAGAAGTTGTCAAACAGCCAAAAAAGACTCGAGAACGGAAAATAAGCATTTAGGGTTTCCTAAAGTAATGATATATTGAATTTATCATAATCTATCCACTTAAACTTTTGGGTTGATTGATGATTTAACATGATATCAGAGCAGGAAATCTTGTGTTTGAACTCCTATAATGATATTTCCTCCCCAATTAATATTGATTTCCACTTACGTTCTACAAATTTTGAAGCCAACACGTGAGAGAATGATTTACATAATTAAATTGACCATAACCCATTAGCTTAAGCTTTCGGGTAGATTTGTGATAGCAAGGAACTGAGCATCCTAAGAATAATACAAGTTGCATACAAGTTGCAACGTTAACTGTTGCTTGCCTATGAAAATGGAAAAGAAATGCTATACATGCAAACATTTCTGAAGTATCTCTTATGATCATCACTACTTCCCATCCACTTGAAACGTGGATACGTACTTCGGATATGCTCTCCAAAGTTTCTTCCTGGATGTTGTTTAATAAATTAAAACAAAAAACGAAAAAGAGTAGGATTGCATCAATACATTCTAATGAGAGAAAGAAAAATCCAGTAATCCATCCTTTCCCAAAGCCTCAGACACGAGATTTCCCACCAAATTATGGACTACCTACATCGCTTGTAAATCGCTTTCTTTCCAAATTTCTAGCTATCTGTCCTTTTGCGTGTTTCTTACTCTCAGACGTTTGCCCTATCAATTGTGAACAACCCTGCTATACGATTTCAGTTCGAGGTTTCGACCAGATACTCATGTTCACAACAAATTCCAAGATTAACTTAACGTAATCCCAAAGAAATCATTCAAAATGGCTATTGAACATCAAATTTAACCCCTAGATTACACCGTCAATCGGCACGATTAACAGATAAATCGACGCAAACGACGAGCAACATTCAACAAGGCAAATAATTCTGTTTCAACACACAACAAGATACAGAACTTACATACAAAATTTCACACAAAATAGACTCCAAGACGACGAACAGATTAAATTCTTTTACGCGAAAGTACTGCAAAATGAACAAAAAAATAAAACACTCCGTCTGTTCCTCTGCGATGAATTGAATGAGCATCGAGTAGCAAGAACAAAAAGACTGAGCGAAAGAGACGACATGGACTCTGAAGAAAAAGAAAGCTGTACTCACCAGATGAAACTTCCATGGAAACACTGAGAAGTAAGCTCGTCTGAAGTTCGGCGGAGGAAATAGGAAACAAAAAAGCAACGGAGGGAAGACAAATGGAACGGGTTTCGCTTTGGTCTAAAGTGGAGATGCCATTATGGGTTTCTTTGACAACAGAGCAGCTCTGCTCACCTATAATCCTAAATGCTTTAAATATCTTAACTTTAATAAAAATATATATATATATACATAAATTTTGTATTTTATATATATATATATAGTTAATATTTTATTTCAATTATTTATTTATTTATATTACATCTATATTTAAAAAATACCAATTAAATTTTAAAAACAAGAAAAAAATTCTCATATAAGCAATATAAACAAATATTATTATCGTCGTGACTAAAATTATCTATCGACACCTTATAAGTTATTTAAAGAAAATCACGACAGTTAAAAAGATGTTGACCCTTTTCAATTAAGCTTTTATTGGCACGAGCATCAAAGAGATGTCAATCTCGTGGGAACTTTGCATCGGTGAATATTCCTGTATTGCCCCTTATTCGTCCCGAGGGACAGAGGAGGCTAGGTTAATCAAAAGATGATTATCGGTTCAAGGATACAAGGTGCCTCTGTTTTTTCAGGGCAAGAAGGGGTAGAGAAAATACGTCAAGCCAATGTTCGAGTACCAGGCACTATGACATTGAAGTAACCCATGTCATACTCACAGGAAAAGCTCGAGCGACCTTCAATAAAAGGGTACCTGACAAGACAAAGATTCTCATTTTGAGGGGAGAGAATGATGAAAAAGGCAATGAATTTTGTGTCAATGGACCGCTCTTTCAAAATAATAATGAAAAATCACTTAAATTTGTAAATCTAGAAATTTATCGAACATAAAATTAAAAGTTCATAGACTTGTTTACGGTTTTCAACGACCATCACAAACTCGAGCAACATGTTGGTATATTCCCGAAAAAATAAATCGAGGTAAGTAGCATCCGTGACTTAATGCAAGAATAACTTTTGAAATTTACCATTTTGCCCCCATGTTAAGTTATAGATGTAAATGAAGATCAAAGAAGCCAAAACGTCTGATTATGAAGAATTTACAAGCCACAAAACAGATTGTATAATACTTTCATTACAGAAGTGAACAAGAGAGCAAGTAGCTCAGAAGAAAAGGCTTTACTTTTAAGGCAAAGTCCTAATTTTCATCCAACATTATTCATCATCCATTCGACGTCGTGTCGAGCATTGCCCTCGAGTGCCATCGAATCTCCATGACTAAAAACTGATCTCGGTCTCTTCATTCCGGTGGTAGTTGATCCTACTCCGATCGGGGAAACCGGGCTTCCAGCTGATGTCAAGCAGCTATCCATCGAGCAATCGCCTACTCGAGGCATAACCGTAGGAGCCTTTGGATTTTCTAGAGTAGCAGTAAGTTCTGAAAAGGGAGGCACTTTTTG